ATTCCTAGGAATTCCTTGGGTAGTCCCAGGAATTCCGGGAATTCTTTCAATGAAGGAAGTCTAGTGTACCCAATTTCAGCCCGTGATTTACCCCTCGGGCCAGGCATTGGAGTTTTTGTCATTTTCCCAACAAATTTGCAAAATAGATATAGCTTTTGCACGCAAGCTCTTCATGTTTGCATGACAGAAGGTTTTTTCCGAATCTTATGTCGATGCTACAAGTAAGTATTTATTTATTTTCATAAGACTTGCACATCAGGTAGGGATAGAAATTGTCAATTTAGACTAAAAACGCAGTAATGAAATTAAAACTAGAAACTAGCTGAGCCATCACCACACTTCTAACGATGTAATTATCCAGCACATGTTCCGGAATTATAAAAGTCCCTCTTCAGCCCAAATTTAGAAGTTAATGGAGGGGAAACAGTTTCAAATTTTGGTATTATAATATCGTTAAAAAAAAATTAAAAATAAACGGGTTCCCATAATAAAACAAATATCTATAAAAATTGTTGGGCATTAGAAACGATTTTCATACAACTGATACAGTTGGTTGAACTATTAGCAGTAAAAACTCAAAATTGCGAAAATCATTCACATTTTAGTGGACCATTTTTCTCAAAAGAGCAAATCACGCCAATTAATCCTTTTATCTACAACAAAACGAGCAACACGTCTGCAGACGATGGAATAGGAATAATATTGATCAAGTGAATTATGGAGGTATTTGAAAGTGACAACCATTTTATGAGATTTATCTAGTATTCAATTATTATTTATTATTTATTTTTCAACACAAACCCAAACATTTCAACTCGAGCGGTAAGCGAAAATTGTTGCGTTGTCAGCTTAACCTCAAGCTAGCATAGCCGCTTCACGACTTTTGAACCAAGTAAGTTATGAAGTTGAATCAAACGCTCAAATTTTCAACTTTTCGATAACTCTTTATTGGTATATTGATAAATTCTATTTCAGAATCTATTCGACTTTTTTCTTTCACTTCCTAATACTGTTCATTTATTTATTTTTTCATACCCTGCACCTCGCCCTGCACTATTTTTTATAATCAGGTAGGTACTTAACTCTACTTTTTCAGATTATCATGTCGTGAAACTGATATATATTTTTCAAGTTTCCAGTTTTTGATTCGTTAATTTTTCAATGGAATTTGGATAGATTGTTACTACTTAAATCATCTGCCATAATTTCATGAATGAATATGTATAGGAATACCTCAAAATTTCTGCAACTAAAAACACAAGAAATAATTGATTCTGACTCGGATGCTGATGCTAATATTTTATTATTTTACCCACCTATGACGATAAAGTAGCGTTGCTGAAGACAACCACTAATATTGCTAGGCAATGCTTCCAGATTTTAGGATTGAAACCAACGTTCTAATTTCCAAACGAAAAACCGACCGTATCCGAAGGCAAGTACTTTTCGTCAGCAAACACTAACTTTTCGTCTTCTGCAGGGTTGCCAGTTCTACTGAATTTTCAGTAGATATCCTGATTTTCACATTGATCTACTGATCTACTGAAACATTTCATAATCTATTGAAAAATATTTTGACACTTATTTATTATTATAATTTCCAATATTAGTATCAATCTTTAGTTAGTCACATACACTTATAAATTGCATAATATTTCGGTAGGCTCTGTTTGAATCAATTTTACAAAATGAGTAATAAATTTACATATAAGTACTAATGATATGTATAAACCAGTAAAGGACAATACTTCATCTGATTTAGATCAAATTAAATTTTTTATACAGGGAGAAATCGAAAATGTTGCATTTTGGGACCCCCCTGTATCTCAGCTATCTTTCAATTTATAGGAAACGTAAAAAATGTCACTCATTCAGTTTTTCACGTGGAATCCAGAGGCGTAATGTTTTTTCAGAATAAGCTCTCATTATTCAGATATCTCCCAAATTTGTTTTTTTAAATGGAACACCCTGTAAATTTCTTTGCTTTGCGCTTTCCAAAAATTTGGAAATACTTATACGATAGTTTGAGTAATAGCCTTAAATTTAGATAATTTACAATGTTTCATTATATTTCGTATTGATCCGCCTTGTAAAAGTGTGGCAATATTTTTAATATTTTGATATCATGACTGACTGAGTGTGTGACGAAAAAGTAGTTAAAATTTACCAATATTCAGCACTATTTATTGACTATAAAAGCTGTGGACCTCATTAGTAGGTGGCAATGAAAAAAAGCGAATGCAGTATGTTTAATAATTGTTGTCAAACGAGTACGTCGAAGTAAAAAAAAATTTCATACAATGGCGAATAATAACCCAGGATATCAAACCTACGAAAGATCACCTATATGGGTTGGGATATAAGTTGGTTTCTAAATGTTCGTATAATTTTGATATCCTGGATTATAATTCGCCATTGGATAAAAAAATTTGTGACTGGGTGACATGAATAATTATTATAAAACATTCATAATTATAAAACATTCTGCACTCGCTTTTTTTCATAGCTAAGTGCTAATTAGTTACACAGCTTTTATAGTCAATAAATAGTGCTGAATATTGGTAAATAATGAATGTTGGTAAAATTTAAACTAGTAAGAGTAGTAAGTATGTGACGACATTCTCTATCAGCAACAGGGTTAATATGAAAATTTTTGATATTAAAAATATTGCTACACATTTACAAGGCGGATCAATATGGAAAAAAAAATTCTAAATTATCTACATACAAAGTTATTACTGCAAATATTGTAAAAGTGTTATATATTTTTGGAAAGAGCGATTCATCAATGATTCAAATATGGAAAAAAATACAGGGTGTTCTATTTAAAAAACATACCTTCTGGTTACATCAAAATAATAACAGCTTATTTTGAAACTCTGTCGAATCGAGTGAAAGTTGCCTCATCCGTAAAAAGAATTTTCTTTTGGGAGTTATTATCTTGGTGTAGAATAAACTGATAAAAATTGACACGTTGAACCAAATCTCCGGGTAAAAGTTCTTGAACTTTTTGTACATGATAAGGGTGTAGTAGATTGAACAGAACTCTGCGATATGCCAATTTGTCGAGATAAATTTCTAGTACTAATATATGTGGATCATCTTCAATAGCATTTAAAATGGCTACTTCAACTTGCGGCCTGAGTGCGACAGCACGTTCTCGAGTATTATTAAAAAACTTGCCCGTTTCTCTAGCTCGTCTTTCAACATTAGAAAATGTTTCTCTATGGGGAATGATACGGTTAGGAAATCTTCTACGATATTTTTCTACACTTCTTCTACAGTTTCCTTCACAAAAACCTAGCACTAACAGCATGTCAACTTGCTCGTTAAAAGAAAACTTCCCATTCATTTTGAAAACACTCAAACAACAATTACTTAATTAAACAACTTACTTGCTTCATTGTCAAGTTTGACGTTTATTTTTATAGCCAACTTTTGAATTTTCGATGATTTTAAATAACACACCTAGAGCGCGCGTTTTCAGTTATTCAAGTTTTTGATGAAAATGATGAGGTTTTTCGAAAAATTACTAGAGTAAAAAAAGTTTTAGAATTGAATTGCCAACAAAACAAAGCAAAGATTTTCAAAATCCATCAAGGGTTAACAAAATTCTGTTGAATATTAATGGTGCGCCACCCGGTAAACCCCTTTACAAATTTCAATTAAACTCTAGTTCGAGCTCTAGTTACTGTCAAGTAACGCCCTAAATACATCCACAAATTTTTTCTAAATTTATAACTTCACTTTCAAAGCCTATAACTCCTTAGGGAAGCAACTTGGTATAGAGGTAGCTTGCGTTAAATTGCCATATTTTGGGACCCCCTACATGCCCCTGCTCTATGTCGGTTCTTATGTGAATCACCCTGTATATTTGCATACTCATTATAACTAAATTCATTCATGGTGTTACCAAATTATAAAATACTGTCGAAACAATTTGATGTTAATTTTTATAAACTCAACCATGACAAAAATTAACTTGACGGTTAGTATTTTTCACGGTTGAGTGAACATATACCTAGTATATAAGCAGCACACTAGGATAGGATATTTAGTTTTAATCTTCTCCTGAAGATGCTAACATAGTTAGCGAAACTCGAGGCGTTTAAAAAATCGGTTTGGTTAGTCGTAAAACAGTGTGGTGTATTATCGTGCCAAAGGTTCCAGTCTTCAATAAAACAAAAAGGATGTTTTGAAAAGACCCCATTATGTTATACGTATTCGGGATCTGTATCAAATGGGCAACTTTTTATTATAATTGGGTATCTTTGTGAGGCAGTGTTTACATCTTTCAGCGGGCTTTAAATATCAACTTGAATAATTCATTCAAGGACAAAACTCAAGGAAAACAACATTTTTCTCAGGTAATTGATAAGAAGTAACACATGTAAAAATGAAAAAATCACAAATGTTCACAAATCACTAGGTTTTTTTGTGAATTTTTTTTTATAGAAATGCGAAAAACATTTTTTTTTAACCATCAACACAATTGGATAACCACATATACCGTTAGTTGGGTCCATGACTTATGACACACCCTTTGAATCGGGAAATGTTCTTCAGAAATGTCTGCTATCATGCTATCACTAGCAATACCAGCCAGACGAACTCGGCAAGCCCAGTCAGTACATCCTTTTGTTATCAACCTTGAAATATGCTGAACAACACGGTATCGGGACTATTTTGCCTATACAACGGCAAAGCTTTGGAATTCTCTTCCGAAGGAAGTATTCTCAAGAACGAATAATCTCCAGAAGTTCAAAAACAATCCCAATACCTACCTCCTCTCCCTATCCTATCCAAGAGATAAAAAAGCAATGACTGAAGAATCGATTCCTATAAATGAAAGTGTTCATAAAATCTTTCTGTTTCTTGCGAGGTTTCTTGTCTCCCTGCTCTCCTACTCAAAGATTATGTTTCAATAATTCATGGAAGTCGTTGAACATGATATAAATTCGTTGAGAAAATTTTATAAGAAACAAATATTTTTTTCACAGATTTTGGGTCATTCGATTTCGTTATCGTGGGAGCTGGATCAACGGGGTCAGTTATAGCAAGCCGTCTGTCCGAAATAGGAAAATGGAAAATTCTACTCTTGGAAGCTGGCCAATATCCGAACAACTTCACCATGATTCCAAGATATTTCGCTATCAGCGCATTTTCGGAATATAATTGGGGTTTCAAAAGTACTCCACAGAAAACTGCATGTTTGGGTAAGCAAGAAAATGTGAAAATATCACGGAGAGATACAATAAATAACTTGTAATAAGTTATACTACAATGTTTGATTACTCTATTTTCAAAATATTTGCTGAACGTTTCTAGAAAAATGCATTTCTATCAGAAGAAATTTTTTTGTCGATTTTATGAGGCAAGGCGGTAGTATTTTTTGTGTAGGCTCAATAACTATTCCATTTTTAATTTTTTGATGCTTATTTTTCTTTGCTTTGCTAGCTTCAGGGGAACTCAGCAGAGCCATCTTTCAAAACAATATTTTTTTAACCATTTGATACACACTTCTCTAAGAAATTAATCCACCACCAAGAAGCAGCCAAAAGTTTTGGAAACATTTTCGTCAAAAGTACTCGTCCGATTTGGACGATTTTTGTTTTGAATGATAGGTTATCTTCTTCTGAATATTGGCATGCAAACTGTAATCGCATAAGAACCTGTTCTTTATGAATACCGGGTGTAGCAATCATAGCGCGTTTTTTTTATGAAATTTGTAATATCCTGTGGAGTGTAACAGTTACGTTATCAAGTTGAAATTGAAAGTACACTTCAGCCCTCGCTTCAGCCTTACCTTCTTTCAACATTTCTTTTCTGGATTTACTCCATTATCTTTCCTATTTCTTCAGTAACACAATTTTATAGCATAACATAATTTTATTGAATTAATTTGGCATTACAAGCACGAGAGTAGCATTCCATTAAAAGATGTCTATTTGAAGAAAAAACTTTGGCGAATAGCCTTTTAGGGGCTTTGGCCACATTCCAAATTGGGTGTCAGTCTGATCACTTGATGGATTTCTTGATATTCTGTGCTATGCTTACAAAGTGATGATTGAACTCGTTGGCAGATATGTCATTTCTGTTTTCTGATTTTGGGTGAATACCCCTATACTCGTTTATTAATTTCCACATACTATTAGTTGGATTCGATGAGTTTTTTCCATTCTCTGTTTTTTTAGCTTCACAAATAGCTGCTTTGTAAGATTTCCTACAATATTCAACTCCTCTCTTAGTTCATCTCATTAAGGAAAGTCAAATAATCTCTGAACTGTTTTGGGTCATTATTGAACCAATTTATGATATGCGTTGATTTGTTCTTTCATGAGTAAGTTTTCATAGGAAAACATTCATTGAAACCATCTTGTAATGTGTCAATGAGAATACTGAATTTTGTGTCCACGCCTAATTCCTTTGAATCAATAAAAAAATTTCAACTCTTTGATGAAATTTGAATTTGCCTTCTTGTGTTACTGTTTTTGTTGTCAGGTGCAGTAGATAAGAGAGATTTCTTGATACTTAGAAATTGACCCATGTGGTCAAAAATCTGTGTTAATCATCTCTGCATCTCAATCTGTCTCAAAATTATTAGAAATATTAGTAAAGCAATTTTGTAATCGTAGGCTGCCAGACTTTTTGAACAAGACCAAACGGTTCCAGCATATTTTACATAACAACAAACTCTATCATTTGTTGGGAATTTAACACTGAAGTCACCAACCAGGATAATCTAATTTTTTTATCTAGCAAGTTAATGTTCTAGAAGAAGAAATTTTATTTTTTTTATGAAAACCCCCACATATTTATCTTGGCTTGGTTTGAGTTTTTCGCATGCATACTTTTGTTTTTTGATATTGTTCAAATAGTCAAAAATATCTTGGGCTTGCGTATTTTCCTCCGCATTGGTTGAGGACGACTTTTTAGGTCCCTTTTATTGATGGTTTTCTTCCAACCACGTTTGTCCATTTCTTACCACTTTGTTCAACTTGTGATTTGTAGTGGACTGTAGTTTTCTTGGAACTGGAAGACCTCAAACCACCAAGAAACTGACGGACTAATGATAGTGCACAAAGAATTACAACTGAATAATGAAATAAGTACTTCAAAATGTTCAAACTGATAATTTTGAAATGAACTATTCAGGCTCAAGGATCAAAATGATTTGTAGTGGACTGTAGTTTTCTTTTTATTTTTTATTTTAATCACGCTGAATCAATCGCGGGAAAGTACTTCCTACCTTAAACAGTTGAAATCTGCACCATTCCAGGGAATCCAGGTTCCAGGGCTGCTCCAGAAGTGGAATTTTAATATGCGAACGCGGTGCACCGAAAAACGCGGGTTTTAAATCACTAGAATTGGTTTTCTATCGATTTTTATTTTAGGAGTCAACTGCGCGCTCGATCCCGCTCGTTGCGTCTGTGTCGTTATCTCTTCTCCGGCAGGGGTCGCTGTCCACAGGATTGGAAGTAACTTTCATGAACGCGAAACGGCGGTTGAATTTAAAAAGTGATTCTTTGTGCACCAAATATATGTATATATGTATATATTAGGTATAGGTTTTGTGGGGATGCAGCTGATGTGGGACTCAAAAGAAAACTCTTTTTACTTTTGAGAAAGCTTTCGGAATTTATTTGATTCCTTCGTCAGTCTCTCTAAAATGGAATGCACAATTATAATATTTAGAAGAAATGGGTATTAAAAATTACTTACAGTATATGAGGTTGTAGAATTGCAAATCAGAATAATATGTAGTATAAAATTGTAAAAAATGCATAAATTCATGGATATAAAAGTAATATAACTTTGTCAAAGTGACAATATGTAACATGAAAAAATACATGGGGTTGAAAAATTAGATAGGTAAAAGGTTGATCAAGATGGAATTGAATTCATGGATATATTGTGTCTATCATGCCTTTTATGATCTATTTCTAGAATATTTGAATAAATTACATTTAAATTTTGAATATCTGTTTTTTTATTCATTGAGCATTTTTCATTTTTTATATAAATCATTTCTAAGAAACATCTCTTGAAAGTATTTTTCTCTGATACTAATATCGAGATGTTATCAAAATCCATTGGATGTCCAGTATCATTAACATGTTGGGATAAAGCGCATGCATTTGGTTTTACACGAATATCACTTTTATGCGATGTAATTCTTGATTTCAAATTTCTAGATGTCTCTCCAATATATTTTTGATCACATTCTTTACAATTTATCTCATATACTACACCAGCTCTATCAATATTTGGAGTTTTATCTTTCAATTTCGTGAAAAGTTTACTCACAGTTTTGATTGGTTTGTTAGTCATTACAATTTCATCTTGTTGTTTTAGTACATTATTAATTTTTGAAGTCAGATCCCTGATATATGGTAATGATCTATATTTTTTTAAAATAATATCAGGCTGTGTATTTCTAATGTTTATATCATTGTTATGTAATTGAGTGGTTCTATTATCTGAAATATTTGGAGTTGAAAAAAGTAATTTGTTGAGTAAATGTTTTGGATAGGAATTTTCAATCAATAAATCGAATAATTTTCTCAAATTTTGTTGTTTAAGATTTGGATGACATATTTTTATTATTCTATTTTTCATTCCAAGAATCAAATTTATTTTAGTTTTCTCTGTGTGATAAGAGAAATAATTCATATATTAGTATCAGAGAAAAATACTTTCAAGAGATGTTTCTTAGAAATGATTTATATAAAAAATGAAAAATGCTCAATGAATAAAAAAACAGATATTCAAAATTTAAATGTAATTTATTCAAATATTCTAGAAATAGATCATAAAAGGCATGATAGACACAATATATCCATGAATTCAATTCCATCTTGATCAACCTTTTACCTATCTAATTTTTCAACCCCATGTATTTTTTCATGTTACATATTGTCACTTTGACAAAGTTATATTACTTTTATATCCATGAATTTATGCATTTTTTACAATTTTATACTACATATTATTCTGATTTGCAATTCTACAACCTCATATACTGTAAGTAATTTTTAATACCCATTTCTTCTAAATATTATAATTGTGCATTCCATTTTAGAGAGACTGACGAAGGAATCAAATAAATTCCGAAAGCTTTCTCAAAAGTAAAAAGAGTTTTCTTTTGAGTCCCACATCAGCTGCATCCCCACAAAACCTATACCTAATCTATTGATTTATACAGCTACTAATATTAATTGAATATATGTATATATGTATATATATCAAATAACTATATGAATACTATACAAACTAAAACTAGACAAAAAGAAAGGTGAAAACGTTCTTGAACAACTTGAATATGTTTTTTTCAATTTATTTATTTGCCCAGGTCATAATATTAATATATTTTCTCATATCTAATGATATTATTTACAATTATTTGATTTTATTGGATGTGTAGTCACCGAAATCCTGAAGGTAATAGTGTTAAGTTCTGGTCTAGTAATGATTTTGTAGTCAATATCTTGCTCCTTTATTTTGGAATGTTTCGATATGTAATTTTTCTGTCTTGCTCCAAATATAAGCTAGACTAGAGCATTCCGTGAAGTGATGTTTATGAGTTTGAGCTTGTATTTTTTCAACTGAATATTGTGTCACGTTCACTTGAATCAATAATCTTTCTCAGAAAAAAAGAATTTTGCTCAGAAGAAACCAATGAAAATTCCTCTCGTCTTTGCTATCCTCCATGAGCAGTGACATCTATGCCCCCTCAAACATGGCCTGGATCCGCCCCTGAATGGAATTCGGCTCTGCTTGGCCTGATAAAATTAACGATGTTGATTTTTTGGAAAAAAAAAACATAACCAATTGAATTTTTTGGTATTCATCTGAAGGAGCATTTCCATCGAAATTTAAATGCATCCGTCATACGACGTACGATTCAGAATCGGACGAATATGTTCGTGTTTCCAAAATGATACAATTTTCATACAAACAATATATACATCCGAAATAACGAATACGAATGACATAATTGTCAATTTGACGTAACCTCTGGTGACATGTTCGTTGATCATTTTTTCAATCGGAAGTAGGAAGATCAGGTAGGATTCATAAAATTAATATATAATAATGATGGATCTCAATTGGCAACAAGGCTGTCAAGCTGTCCGATGTCAGTAATAGGAAATACTTTTCTGGAACATTATCTGCTGATTATCATATCGGATATCAGACGTCGGACGACGGATGCATGGCGATGCTCCTTTAAACAGCACAACTCAAAAAACTCATCATAATCAACGTGGCTATTTTTACAGGAGCTGTAGAGAACAGATGCTTGGTCCATAGAGGCAAGGGAGTCGGAGGCACATCTCTCATAAACGAACTTGTATACAGCCGAGGTAACATCAATGATTACAACCGCTTGTCCAAGTTGCTAGCCGACCCCAGCTGGGATTATGAACACGTCCTGCCATACTTCAAAAAATCTGAGAACTTCCATAAAAACAACCCAAACGCTCCCGCCGACTTAGAATTCCACGGCACGAACGGTTATTTGAACACAAACTATCATCTACCTCCATCAAATTACACCGATATTTTCCTGAAGGCCAATAGAGAACTGGGGATCAATATCACAGATTACAATGGACTGAACGAAGAAGGAGCGACTATACTTCAGATCAACACGAAACATGGAAAGAGATTAGACGAAGCTTCTGCCTTCATTGCTCCCGTAATGGGCAGAAGTAACCTCGTAATTTCTGTGGAAAGTTACGTGAACAAAATCGAGTTCGACAAACACACGAAAGAGGCCATAGCAGTTATTTTCACTAAACACAATAGAACTTATCGAGTGAAAGCCAAGAAGGAGATAATAATGTCTACTGGCACGATTTCGACTCCGCCATTGCTCATGCTGTCTGGCATAGGCCCCAAGAAACACTTGGATAGTATCGGCATTCCAGTTATATCTGACTTGGAAGTGGGAAGTTCTCTACGTGAACATGTTTTCTGTGGTGTCCAGTTTTCATCCAACACTTCTTACCCCTCGCAATCACTCCAGGAGCAAATAAAGCAATATCTCAGCGGTTATGGCGATTTGACGGCTTCGAATCCCATAGACGGAGCTGGTTGGTACCGAACTGCCATAGAACGCAAAGGTTCTCCAGACATAGAAATGGTTATGTCCTCTTCGACACCGTCAGAACTAGGCAAGAAATTTCTTGGCTGGGACGATGAGACCTGGAGTGCACTTTTCAATATAACCATACCGAATCCATTCACTCTGACTCCAGTCCTTCTTCACAGTCAGTCCACGGGAAGGGTGAGACTTCAATATAACGACCCTTATCAGTTCCCAGTCATCGACTATAATTTGTTGAGTGATTCCAACAATTTGGATATCGATTCTTTATATGAAGGCATTCAAATGGCACTGAATTTGACCGAGACCGAGGCTTTTCAACGAATTGGTGCCAAGTTGGAAGTTAGACAACTTCCCGCATGTACTGACTACGAATTTCTCACAAAGAATTACTGGTACTGTTACATTAGGCAAACAGCGATGGCGGCCTATCATCCTGTAGGTACATGTCCCATGGGACCAGATCCTATGAAAGGAGCTGTAGTAGATTCGAACTTGAACGTGTATGGTGTTGGGAGATTGAGGGTAGCAGATGCGAGCATTCTTCCTTTCACGTTTTCCGGACATCCTAATGCTGTGTGTGTGATGATTGGAGAGAAGATTTCAGAAGTTATAAAATACGAGTACGGAATATCCAATTAGGCATAAATAATAATAGTTGATAGTAATTATAATGATGAATACAAACTACGGCATTGATTTTGACCAAATCTTTTCTAAGACCAAGAAAGAAAACTCGAAGTCGTCTCCACAAGTTTAATGTTGAAAAGATGCGGTCATGGAGACGACCTCGACTTTTTTCTCTTGATCATTCCACTCCACTTTGAGTATGGACTACTACAGAAGAAAATCTGTTTTCTTTACTGGATGATATCGATGATACTTCAGTTTCTTCTCTATCAAGGGGTAGGAGACGAGGTAACTCAATAACTTCACCTCGCTCGTTCGATAGGTGCATTTTATTGCCACGAAGCAAAGATACGAGGGAATGTCTAAGATTATTCGACAGCGAGTTAGAATTGGGATATGTTGCCGTTAAGTTTCAAATATTCTCTTCTGTATGATAGTTACAAGAGTCATTTCATGATATAAATGCAAAACTACTGAACTTCTTTCACAAAAATTACAGCAACATATTCTCTCAATCAATAATCCATGATTCTCAACATTTCAGTGAAAATCATAAAAATTTTCAGACGAATAATATTGATATTGAATATAGTCAGCAGATTGCTGCTGATGCCTACTAGGCTGCTGATATATTCCAGAGAATTTTGATCAATTATACAGAGTGTTTCAATACCCAAATCACATACATGAAATATGTCTCCTGTCTGAGTTACAGGGTGTTTCATTTGAAAGGTATACTTGTGAAACTAATTGACGTATCATTTCCGATTCAATTCGCTGGTGCAGGGCCGTCTTCAACCTACTAGGGGCCCTGGGCACATCATGAAAATGGGGCCCCTATATATGATCTTGACAGAGCATTTTTTTGTTAGCATAGACAAAAAAGTAGAAGATCAAAATTATTTATTTATTTATAAAATATAAATTTAATAGATAATATTATATAATTCACAAATTAACAGTGAAGTATTCACAGGTTAGTGCATAGAAATATTGATTAAATAGATACCCTACCCTTCTAGATTTGGACAAAATCATTAATTACTTCTTCAAAATCTATGGACATCAGCGACAAACTGGTTAATCTCTGAAGCATTGTAGTTCTCAATTCATTATTAATTCTTTTTAATTTGGAGAACCTTGAAAAGAATCTCAATGCAATTTCTACATTTGGAAATGCGTTTTCTTTCAAGAGGAGATACATTTCCAATATACTGTTAGTTTCTCTATTTTCGCTATTAACGAACGTGTTATTATGATATCAATTAGTGCAACCTAACGAAAAAAATTTTGACGGTGGCGCTTTTGGCAATGTGCTCGACAAAAATGTTTTGATAATAAATGTGAGAGATATTATCGGTCCTTCGGGCTCCCCTGACGATGAGGGGCCCCGGGCACGGGTCCCGTGTGCCCTTATGGTAAAGACGGCATTGCGCTGGTGGGTACCCAAGAGAAAATCATTTCCACTAAAATACATACGTTGGAATTACTGACATTTTGTTCATGGGTAATATCTTTTCGAAGGGTTTAAATTCAAGATTGAAGATAAATTTGTAATCAAAACTTTGATTTTGAGAGGTTACATGGGCATGAGATTTTGCAAAAATTTCCAACCATGCGGTATAAAAAAAGCACTATTTATGATTTATACTCATAATTTCGCAACCATCTGTTAGATTGAAAATGCAAAGTTTTGATAAATTTAGGGTGTTTGGTTCACCGACGTAACTATTTCTAAATTTTCTTCTTCTTTCTTCTCATCTCTAGAAGAGCAAGAAAGGGAATCCCGATAATGTTTGAAGAACATTGTGCGTACCTAGGGAGGACAGGAGAGGAGGTAGCTATTGGACATTTTTTTGAACTTTTGGAAGTTATTCCATTGGCAATGAATTCCAAAGCTTTGCCGTTATGTTGACGAACGAGTTTTGGTGAAGTTTTTTTCCTGTGCATATTTCAAGGTTAACAACGAAAGGATGTGTTCACTGGGCATGTCGGATTTGTCTGACTAGTATCGCCGACTTTTCTACGGTGTTTTAATGAGGTCAAAGGCTTGGTGAGTGTGGCATCACCCACCAGGCGAGATATCATCATTTTGTCAAACATGTTATCTGATGATTGTATATTTCTTTCTTAAAGAGTTGAAAACGTATTCCATCGATATTGAACACTTATTGCATATGACAAAAGATATTTTGGCTCGTAAGTATTCAAAAAACTATTTTTGTAACATCTAACTCTGAATTAATAAGTGATGATTCCTCGAAAAGTGTTACACTTTGTGTAATAATATATACTATAACTGTTAGATTAAAAATTTTCAAAGTCACAATGTCTAACGCTTCCTTCAAGATATGCGTCGCTAAACCAAACACCCAGTATATATATTTTTTAAATTCTATGAGCTAATTCAACGAACAACTTCAAGAAAAACCATGATATTTCGAGCTGAAACCCCACCACATTAATTTTTGAAAATATATACATACAGGGTGTTACTGAATAAGTGCGACAAACTTCAGGGGGTAATTCCTTGTGATAGTTTAGAAAATACAGTTTATATAAACATGTGTCCTAACTCGCTTCATTTTCGAGATACATGGTATTAATATTTCCATGAAAAATCGTTTTTTTAATGATTACTCAAATGTCTTTCTACCAATCTCAATGAAACTTGGTGGTTTTCTTGAATGTAACATGGAGCTTCTTTTGATGTGATTAAATTCGAAGAAATATTTTTAGTGGCGTCACAGTGGGTTAATTTATCGATTTTTTAGTTAATATCATCGTACGCCACTGGTTTTCCTGACTTCCATATTTTTATTAGATTGAACAATTGAAATATCAACTTCTATATCCTCTGTGTTTCTTTTTTATCTTTCTTAGTTTTTGAGGAAACAATAAAAATTCGATTTGATGTAGGTGCTCTCGAAACATTCATTGAGATTACTCAATAACCTCAATAAGAATAATTTTGAAATTTTGGGACTTTTTCAATCTCCAACCATGCTGAATTTTGGCACCATGAAAGTTTATACAGGGGCGTTATAAATAAAAACAATTGATATACTTCCAACTTCAACATCCTGTATATCAAAAACGAAGCAAGTAAGGACACTTATTTATATGAACTTTATTTCCTAAAATATGAGGTTTGTCGCAGTTCTTCACTAACACCCTGTATATTGGACTATGAAAAGAGGGGGATACACCAAGCATTTTTGCAATTTCTCTACCCATAGTTTTCAAGGTTCAGATTCATATTTCCAAGGTCAAGTATTTTTTCAAAAAAGCTCACTGAATTTTCGTAAAAAAAATAACTTGGCCTTCATAAGCTATAAATACCTTGGAAATGTTAAATTTCAATTAGTTATATTTTGATAAAGAATAGCTTCAAAAAACACTTGAATAACGCAGAGATATTCGATGTCTATGTCATACCAGCTGACAAGATATTCTATTCAGATTCGTGGTTACCGTGACGTGGTTTTACCGGTTCGAAAGGAAGAAGCAAGGCACTATCGAGGCACACCACACTGATTGGTTCTTATATTGCAGGAGATGGCAATTTTATATACGTTGTGGAATTGTCGGGAGCTCGGTCGGGAGTAATACCATGAGTGCTCGCAATACCATCGATAGTAATTTCGCCAGAAATCAACGAGTTTGAGATTTCTAACAGAATTTTCGATAGTATTGTGAGCACGAGTGTTATTTATTGAGACAATTCCACGACCTAATGAAACTGTTATGTCCATGTCATACCAACTGACAAGATGTTGTTCTATTCGAATTCGTGGTTGCCGCAACGACGTGGTCTTACCGGCTCGAAAGGAAAAAGCAGGGTATTATTGAGGCATGAGTGAGGGTTGCTGGGCTGTGTGCACGTGTATAAGAGTGGGCCTTTGAAAACAAAACAGAGGCTCTGTACGTCGCCAAAACCGGATTATGAAAAAAATCTGAAACACGTCAACTACATTTTCGAGGGGGATCGTTCTAAAATATTTTCAGCCCTAACGGAAAGAAGCAACAACTTTGTTATTTCAAATGGAACACCTTGTATTTTATTGCATTTTTAGATTCTCCCCGAAGAGCTGATTTCATCAATGCATCACACTTGGGGTCTAGCTATAATGGTTTCAGGGATATAAAGTGTTCAGAATCGAGATTTTTCAACTTTAGCATTTTTTGTGGCGAAATTATTCATTATTGGTCAAAACGGCTTTTATGTCCCTATCTCAACTTGTGATTTACTATCTACTGACAAGAGTGTTTGGGATCACACGTTAAAAGGCAAGGCCCCGTTATTCCTTGCTCGCACAAGACTCTCGAAGACTTATGAGGGTTGCTCGTAAGGTGGCAACCGAATGACAGATAGAACAATTTTAGAACAACAAAATTCATAATAATGATCGAGATTTTATTTAATCCCAGAAATACAAAAAAAGAAGAAGAAGACAAACTACATTGACAACTTAACTTCCTGACGTTGAAAGGCAGATTGGCGACAATATATGGAAGCGGCATCAATACATCTAGTAAATAATGAAACAAACACAAACGAGGATCTTACAAACACAATAAAATCAGCAACGGAAATCGCAGTACCAAAGAAACAGTATCACCCCACAAGAAAAGAAAAAAAAATAACCCCAATCTGGTGGGACGAAGAATGTACAAATGCCATCAAGGAAAGGAAAATAAAGGTGAACAATTACAGGACAAACAGCAATGATGACAATTACCTAGCCATGAAAAAAACCATAGCAGAGACCCGAAGAATTCTCAGAAAAAAGAAAAAAGACAGCTTTACAAAATTCTGCGAAAACCTAAGCAGAGACACCCACATAGCCGAAGTCTGGAGGAAAATCAAATCCTTCAAGAACAAACAACTCTCCCACCAACCAAGAAACGAATTCATCAGCCACAACCTACAGCAATTCCTAACCCATATCACAATACCAGATATCCCCAGAGAATATGAAAAAAATACACCAGGGGCAGAGAACAGTCAACCCTTCACCCTCACAGAATTACAGATAGTACTAGAAGATAGGA